TTCTGCACATAAAAACATTTAAAGTGCAAATGTAGAGATTTCATGGTTCAGCAGACGTGTATAATTAAGTCCGACTAATTTGAATAGTAAAACACTTTTAAGCACCGGAGGTGTGAATCTTCATCGGCTTCACAATTCACTTCAGTCGATTCCTCCATTTTCTACATTACTGCACGTTTTGTCCTCCGTCCCGCTGGAGGGACAGTTTTGTGTCAGATGCCGATCAGGGGTTAAATCCATTTGTTTTTTTTTTATTTAACGTTATTTCCCTGAGAGGAACTGAAACGTGTGAGTGTGTGTGATGTGGTTAAATTAAGGGGACTCGGGCGGAGGCGTGAGCTCCACCTGTATCTCTATCAACTCATCTTCTCACAGAAACATCTGGATTGAAAACATCTGCCTCAAGTGATAGAAACCATCGATGACAAACAATTATTTAACGTCTCCTTTTTTTTCAAAGTTTGGTCACGAGAAAGTTTTTATGCCGCTTGTTATTTTGTGTGTGTGTAAATAAGCGTGAGAGCTGTTGTGTTGGAGTGGAAGCGTGACACTCGAGCACCAGACGTCCGGTCGCCATCGTCTCTGTTCATCGGTGAAGGGCAATAAATCGTGGGATGAGTCGGGCCCGGGGAGGATCCACCAGTTGGAGCCTTTGTTCCGCCGGGGATGAAAGGACACATTTGAAGGAGCCTTCAGATGAAGCAGTTTATTCCACTGTGACTCCGTCAGTTGGACGCCCCCCCCCCCCCCCCCCCCCCCCCCCCCCCCCCCCCCCCCCACTGAGCCTCACATCTGCAGCCGACGCTGAACCCGGTGTGCTTCTGATCGATCCTCATCGTTTCCATAGGAACCAGGATGAGTCAATGATGAAGATGTTGAGGAAGAAAATAATAAAAATCTCGAGGTTTCCTTGAGTTCCTCTGGAATCACTGGGCAGTCGGTTCTCGGCTCAGATCCTAAAGGCCCAGGAGAAAAAAAATCAGATTTGTATTGAAGCTGAATTTAATGGATCGATATCAGTGGATGGTTCCTCCTGTGGGGAGCTCGGGGGGGGGGTGTTGTTAAAAGTGAAAAGTTGATTAAAAGTATTTCCTCAGTGGTGGTAATTCTCCTCACTCTGATCAATAAGTGGCTCCTCTCCAGGGGGTGACTCTGTGTCAGCTACCTTCTCCCCTCCTCCCTCCTCCCACTCTCTCCCCCATTCTTTCTCTAAATATCCTCTTTTTATATTTCTCTTCACAAGCCTGTGATTGTCTGATACAAGTACTCCTCTCCCTCTCTCTCTCCCTCCGCACTTCTCCTCTTGCTTTCAGGTCTTGTGTTTCTTCTTTTTTTTTAGTGCGGCGGGTTATTAGCGTGAGAGCGGCGAGGCTTGCGTCTGTTTAATCAGGCTTGTTGAGCACGCAGGTTTGATGTGTGTTGTCTCTGTGTTTAATCAGCGAGCTGCTCGCTGCAGGTTTGATGTGGACAGAGAGTTAATAAAGCAGTATCTCTGGTGCCTTCATCAGCAGCAGCACTTTGTTCTGCCTCTTCTCGCACCTCGGAGACAGACAGCTGCGGCGCTGCAGCTCCGACACCACATCTGTCCCTGGCTCCGGATCGCTTCACTCCTCGTTTTCATTCTAAAGGATCAGACCTCACTCGTTTATTCGTTCCGTTGTTTTTTTATTTTGAAAATGTGAAGTCACACGTGGGACACGTCACGCTCTCTGGTCGTCAGGCTGGTTTCATGACGTCTGTGATATTCAATCACAATATTTGAATGAGCCCAAGAAAACCAGCAAATCCTCAAAACCATGGGAAAATAAAATCACTACAACATTTCATCGATTATTATTATCAATCATTTATTTTTACTTCAAAATAAGAAGCCTTTTCTATCAGTTCATGAATTTAGTACAAATTTATCTTCGCTGGTTATTGTTTCTCAAAATCTGAAATCTGAAATCTGAAGCAGAAGAAAAGTTGTTTGTGTTTAATTGATTATATCGTTATTGTCTCTTCAATCAGTTTTATTCAAGTTTGAGAGTCTTGATATAATTTAAACCTTCAAAGCTCAAGTTTCCTATTTATTCAAATGACACTAAGAATTAAATTCATGTAAATTAAAAACATTTGAAATGCCACCATTGTTTATAAAAAAAACTCCACATGTGCATTTATATTATATTTTATTATTTATCAGTAAAATAGTCAGAATCTAAAATACTTTATTGATCCTCGGGGGAAATTGAGGTCGTCACAGTTGCTCCACCAAGAATATAAATGTGTACAAACCAAAAAATATAATATATAGCAATATAAGATTTAAATTAAAATGATTTTTACTGATATATATGTACATGTATGTGTATATGTATATTATAATACAGTATTTGGAACAGGTACGTGCTTATTGCAGATAAATTATAATAAAGTATGACGTAAATATATTGAGCGTCTGACTCCGAGACAGGAAGTAGCTGATGAAGTAATCGATCATTTATTTTAGGTTCTCTTTGTATTTGTGGTTAAACTGCTTCCTCTCGTTCCCGTACAGCGTCTCGATCGTTCACATTTATATTTCGCTCTGAGGTCGATCTCTCGTGAAGACCAGTTCATTCTGGACGTTTTTCCAAAACAAAAAATTCCGTTGACAGTTTTCACGTTTTGCGTCCGGACTCCAAACCTGGAGTTCCTCGGTGTCCAGGAACTGATGCAAAGTGTTTTGCTGAATTTCATTTTCCCTGGTGCTGCTGGATAAGTGTCAAGCTAATTCATGTCTTTCCTGCAGAGATACAGATTCGGGCCGTGCCTCCTTTTATTCCTCCATCTCTTCAGCAACTCCGCTCCAATTTGTCCTGTGGATATCAGCCTGTAACAATTAATAAGGCTTTAACTTTCAAACTGGGAAGTGAAGTAGAATGTGGGGCACTTATCACTCGGGGTGCATCCTCCCTGCCAACCATCCGAGGCAGGAGGACAAGAGGGAGAGGCAGCGTCTCTCCTTGGATGAAAGACCAGAGAAAGTGGAGCTGGAAACTTTTCCCGCACAATTTGATGTCTGAAAGCAGTGATGCAGTGATTGATTCATTAAACCAGAGCCGTAATGAGGAAAGAAATCATAATTCAAACTTACATTTTAAACAGGAAATATAATTGGAATTTTATACCGAGAAGTCCCTTTGTACAATTATGATTAAAGGAAAATTAATTGTATGAAAATGTCCTTATAGATACTGAAAATTAGATCTAGCAAAGCTCAGGCGACATGGACCTAATTCTAAAAATATTTTGTACAGGATCGATCTTTTTTTTTCCTTCTTTCTTTATGAAGGTCCAAATCTAGCTGTGTTCACTTTATCTGAAATTAGAGTGAACCATGCAGGCGTGGAAGTTGAAATTAGCCTAAAGATGTTTCATTTACAAAGACAGAAACACTTTCTCAGTCGGCGATTGTTTCCCAGCATTATCTCTGCTTGCTTTTAATTGCTTTGGAAGTGAAATTAACAGAATTAGAAAAATTGCCTCTCCCTTCTTCTACAAGCTTCTTTATTCACGGGTATTGTTGTGTGCTTTGTATAGATTATAGACTCCTTTTGTTCCAGCATTGTAAATATATACGCCCCTAGTCACGGCTTTAGCTCTGAAACAATCCCCCGCCTCCCTCCCTGTTCGTTGGTTCAACACAACCTAATGGAAATTCATTTACAACCTGTCTGGATGGAGGGAGAGACGGTGGGAAATGAAATCTCTGTATTAATTTCAGTTACTCAACAACAACACGTCCCTCCCTCCCTGACTTTCCAGGACACTGTCGTCGTGTGCCTGAGCTGTTTTCACCCTCGGCAGCTCGTTAACCGTTTCCGCTTCACTCTGCCGCTCCCCATAATCCTCTTAAAGGAAATGGTTACCTTGAATTAATAATTCTCTCGTGGCGTCCTCTCGGGAACCCAGGATGAAGCGTGTCATCTGATGCAGACGAACAGAAAAGAAGCAGCGAGGCTTGAAACACTAATAACTGCAACTGCTTTAGACACAGAGGACAAATGAATATGGTGAACATCAGTGTACGTTTCAACGCTTGGACGTCTTAATGCACCGTTACAGCAGCCTGATACCCTCGTGGTACAGACTGAGTGTTATTAACGAGGCAATTTAAAAAAAGTCACATTAAATTCATATTAACCGACTCCATTTTTGTGTGGATGTAATCTTTAAACGGGCTAAAATAGATCAAAAGTAGTGTATAATTACTGTGGTCAGCAGGGATTATGAAACTGTAATTGATATAGATCAGCCCTGCACTAATCACTCTCTTAGCTACAATTTTAGGTATACTGTAATTTGGCTTTAAGGTCCCCCTTGGCTTCTTGCTATTAATCTTCTGGATTAGATTGTTCAGCATGTCCAATTCTCAAAACCTTGTTTTTTTTTTTTTTTGCTTGAATTAGTTCATTTAAAAAAAAGGGAGGATCCGTGTGTTTAGGGTATTTTTTTCCAGTGCTGCTCACACATGAGGAACTTTATTTTCCTCCTCTCTGTTTGGACTCAAGGCCCAAAGGAAAGATAATTAAACTCACGTCCTGCAGACCCACGGTGTCACATTATTCTCTCAACGTTATTATTCCCTCCGGAGCTTTTTGATGTTTATTATACTCATTATTTATGAGTTTATCTGATGTGAAATCCTTATTTTTTTCGCTCATGCTGCTTTCAGACCTGAACTCCCGAACATTTTCCTGGAATTCTCTGCGTCAGTTCCTCTGGACGGTGTCAGCGGCGGGCGTGTTTGTTGATGAGGTTTCTAACACTTGACAGACGGAGCGATGGACACTGAGGTGTCCAGAGCTTTTGGTGTTCCCCACATGTTCCCGTCATTGTGACAGAGTCTGACTCACAGTCTGGGAAATGTGCGCTCACAACTTTGTTAGAACGGTTTGAAATTCATCCTCATCCTCGCGTCGCAGCTGCGAGAGAACAGACTCAGGTGTTCACGTTCCCTCCTCTTCCTCCCGCAGGTTCCCTCGGGGATCTCGACGGTGGCGAGGAAAACACGCTGGACAGCCACAGCCTATCAGGAGAAGAAGGCGGAGTCTCCGACCCAGATGATTCATTGGAGGGCGACAGCTCCAGCCCGCCGCCATACACGCCACTGCACAACGAAGGTGAGGGGAGGGACATGCACACAGATATATA